TTTTTTTTTTTTTTTTTTTTTTTTTTTTTTTTTTTTTTTTTTTTTTCCAAAATCACATTAGAATCTGAGTCTGAGAGGTTTTTATAGACCGCTTTGTGAAACACAACATTGTAGGTGCCAAAATAGGAAAATGGCGGACATTAGCATGAGCCACCTGGCCTGTTTTGACCCGGTTAGTAAAACTAGGGTTAAACAATCAACAAAGTAAGTTCCTTGTGTCAGAGAGATAGGCAATACGCAGTGCAATGAAAAATTGCAACTTTTTCAAATTTTATAACCATTGATTTCAATGAGCCGTGTACCTTCAATGTTTAGATAGGCAACATGCACATCACTCTGATGAAGCAGCCATAATTGGACGTATTTCTGCCAAACGGAACTATGTCGACGGTGAAACTACCAAACCACGTATCTCGGTTTGCGACAACGCAGACTTCCTGTCATACTTTATTTTTTAAATGAAAAACTACTTAACGTCCAGTCTTGAAAATTTCTGTGATTTTTCCTCTTCGTGCGGAGAAAATTCCGTGAAAATTTCAAGGAATGATATTGATTTGGTCTACTTCAAAAAAATAAAATGTGAGCGTAGATTTTTAAACACCGCAAACGAGATACGTGGTTTGCTAGTTTCACCGTCGATGTGCATTAAGCCATGAGCCCCAAGATCCATAAAAATATGTGCATTAAAGAGATCACGTTACACTGCGCATAATTCCGTTTGACAGAAATACGTCCAATTTTACAATGTAATCGCAATTTATTGGAATCCGTGCTACTGCGCCGAAATCGCATCAATAATTGGACGTATTTCTACCAAACAGACCTATGTGGAGGTGAGAAATGTGGGGTGTGCTCGTTATCTCTGGCCGTAAGAGTGAATGGGAATAATAAAGCGCCAGTGACGTCAGCGGCAATAATGACGGAGCCGCGGCCGCGAGACGGAGATCATCGTCGGGGCGCTTTATCTCATGAGCCCTGTTCACAACGCTCTTTTGCCATGCCCGCGGCTCATGAGTTCCGCATTCAGTTGGCACATAGGTCTGTTTGATAGAATGCAATATCCCGCTTTTCCAATTCTTCAAAAGGAACCACGCCCACTTTTACATTGTTTCTTATACAGATTTCTAGAGCACACCCCATATTTCTCACCTCCACAGGTCTCTTTGGTAGAAATACGTCCAATTGATTCCTCTGCCTTTGTCATTGATGTTCCAAAGTTCCAGGTGGGAACTCGCGAAGGGACAACACATCATAAAACTGATTCTTGGTTCTTCAGAGTGGGTTGATATCCCAAAATTCAAATCAATTCTTGAGCAGTCGAAAAATATTCCTTCTCTCTCGAAAGAAATCATAAAACTAAAAGACAAATAAGGGGCAGCTTGGAAGACGAGGCGCATAAGTGCAGTTTTTGCTATTTCGAGAAATGAGCATTTGAAGTTTTAAAATTACATTGATCATAATGGCGGAAAGAAATTTCAAACTGCCTTCTTAATGCTTAAAAATTGGAATTTGGGAGCAAATTTTTCACAGAATATGCATTGAGACTATAGATTTATTTGGAATCTTCCTCAATTTTTTCAAAAACTGCACTTATGCGCATTGTCCTCCAAGCCTCTCAAATAGTTTATGTCTTTGCGCGATGATTTAAGTGGACTTTTTAAGAGGAAGATTTTTAGATTCGGGGCACCACGCGCATCACTTCATCTCGTATACTCGTTCAACTTACGGAAGAGAAAATAGTAAAAAATACGCGAACTGAAACACATAAATCATTGATGATCGAAATACTTTACCGTCTTACCTTTTTAACACGTCATTGAGTCCCTTGCATTGTACAAAGGAGCAGGTGATGTTTTGGGATTAATATTTTATATTATTTAGGGTATGCGAGGCGTATGATCAGAGGGGGTTGCGCGTGGCTGGAGGTGACAAACCAGAGCGATAGTCACATCGGGGTCATGTTGCTTTAAACTACTACATGACGAAAGGCTATAGCCTTGATTGCATCAGCTATCTAATCATTGGACGCATTCTTACGACACTACGAAAGAAAATGAAATCTAGATGGGGCGGCTGATCGCTCTGAAATACACGCGATGGTTATTCATTTGGACGTATTTATGCTAAAAGGAACTATGTCATACGCAATCCCCATGCACCAAGTTCCTTTTAGCATAAATACGTCCATTTCTAATACTCTAGAAAGACTGATAGACGCCTAAAATCAAACATTTCATGCTGTTCAATTATCATGCGGGAATCAGTATGTTTTATACCTCAATACATTTACGTTTACTGTTGATACATACGAGTACTTCACTATTTAACATACTCGTACCAATCATCATTGCAGTATGTTGATGCGTGTATGAATCATTTTAAAAAATGCATCTCAAGGGTTTCCCCGTCCAAAATCGAGAAAAATTGACAAGGGTTTCATGGACTAAAATTTAGGAGTCAAAATTGAAAGTTCTGCGATCGGGCTGGAATTCCCAGTAAAATAAGTCGAGAAGTTCAAATTTCTGGTCCAAAATGCTTCACGAGTCGACCAGGCCTCACAATGGCGCAAATCACAGTGGTCTTGAAGAAAAAACAAAATGTGACTAAAATGTACCTGCAAACGGTTTGCAGGAGGTGAGTTTATGGTACAGGTGGACTAAAAATCGCGAAAAATCAAAATCTTGGCTGATCCTAATTTCCAGATATCGGAATTATAAAATTTTCATGGTAAACGAAATTTTTCTACTAATTTTAATCCGCCTATTTATTTATTTGTCCATTGCATAGGTATTGATCGGTTCACGTTGTTATTTTTCGTTTGATTCATGTCGATCGAACTCACACTCTCTCGACGTCACATGCAGACCTCCTATCATAATCTTTCTTTTAAACTGAACGATTCGCCTTCTACTGCGTCCGCAGTTATTGTTGTTACGAATATGTTGTGCGTGTTGATTCCAGCTCATTACATACTCGACTTTCTGAAGGCGTTTTATGTGCGCGAGTAGCGCAATCTTTCAATGTGTTAGAAAACAATGTAAAATAGCTGTGTCTACCCTGGTAAAAATTGGCCTGGTAAAAAAGAATCTGTGTTCCAAAGTACCATAGACCTACAGCCGACTGTAAGATTCCCAATAGGGGTGTTCAAACGAATTCTTGCCGGAACACTATCGACATCGTCTCTTATTGAAACTGGCGGCAGTACCGACAGTGGCCATGATATCGACAACAGCCGGCCTTATCGGAGTTTTGAGAGCTCGCACTCAATACATTGTTGCCCCGTGTGTCGGTTTATCAGATTGCCTGGCGCGGCGGCGCGTAAAATAGATGTACAATTGGCAACAGCTTATTTTCGCCAGCTCCGAAAACTCTGATCGCTATCGGTAAGAGCGCTCTTATCGTAACTTTTTCTTAACGGAACTGTTTCGGTGGCTTACCGACAACCGATTGAACAGCCCTAATTCCCAATAGTCTCTATAGCCGGCAACACAATTTCTTATAGCCTTTTATAGCCGATGGCGACTAAGCAACAGCCTGACGATAAAGTGTATGCTATCCGTTACTAATTATGAATGCTAGGACTTAGTGAGTTTTTGGACTACCGCCCTCTTTTGGGGCCGTAGTATCTTGATTTATTTTGCGAGGGAAGCGCCGTACTTTTGAAGGATGCCTGCCATTCCCAATATGTTGGAGCGCCTTCAATTTCGTAAGATACTGTGCAATACCTCTGGTGTGAAATAGTTCCTTCAAGCGCCGTGGTACGCTGCGGCGCGGCGCGGCGGGCGGGCAGCCAGTTCAAAACGCGCATTGGCGCCTACAAACCTAACAGAGATACTTCACGCATTGCGCAATGCGTGAAGTATCCCTGTTAGGTTTGTAGGCGCCAGTGCGCCGCCGCTCCGCTTTGTGTTAGGCTCTAATATTTAATCTCGTGGAGTCAGCGTTGTTCAACTCATGACTTTGAAATGTTTGCACACTCTGTATGGATTATTCTCATTTTAATTGATGAAAACAAATATGTAGTGAAGGAAAATATAATAAGCAATTTGTAATAATTATTATGGTGAGTCCGTACAAACTTGCGGATTTACAAAGCACACGAATTTCTACACAATTTCTTATAGCCTTTTATAGCCGATGGCGAAAAAGCAACAGCCAAGCGATAAAGCGTAAAGCCCGGCGACAGGAACTATAGCCCGGCTGTTTAATTTTTTCCACTTTCTACAGCCAGCTATATGATTTTCTATCGCCTTCTTCAGTCGGCTCTAAGAACTCCTATGGTATTTTGAAACGCAGCTCTCATCGCCAATTTTTACCAGGGTAGCTAGCCCTTAAGAACTATTTTTGACCATTCACTCCGTTGCCAAAATCACTCAAGTATACTATACAATATATATTAATTTCCTTTTAGGCTCGAGTAATTTTGGCAACAGAGTGAATGGTCAAAAATAGTTCTTAAGGGCTAGAAACAACTATTTTACATTATTTTTTAACAAATTGTGACGTACGTTAGCCTCCTCAATTTCGGAAAATCTACTTTGAAATTGATGAAAAAACTGTCAAATACGATCATTTTGCTACGCGTAGCACCTCAAAACCAATTGCGCCATGACCTATACCTTACCCCCATCCCTGGGTCAAAAGTGGTATTTTCTTGTTCAGAAGAGGCTTTTAAAGGTCTGCCTCAGAGATGGTCAGGTTTTGAATCATTTGGGCACATTTTATAGCCAAAAAACGCAGTTCCGCTGATCGGCCTATTTCCTCCCCATTTACACCTATGT